GACCATGCTGTGAGAACCACTGCTCTGGGATATATACCTGTAATTTGCTGGGTCATAGAGTATGCACATCATTCAACTTTACTAGAAAATGTCCAATCTTTTCTCAAATGATTGTATCAATTTATACTTCCTCTAATGGTGCATCCATTCACTCCATTAATTCTGGTGTTTACCACTCCTCCAAAACCTCCAAAGGTCACTACTGATATCCATATTACCATATCTAATGGACTCTTTTTAATCCTCATCTTAGTCAACTTCTCAGCACTCTTGAAACATCACCAACAGTCCCACTATATCCTTATCTCTTTATCTCTTTCTCAGTCTCTTTGCCACCTCCTGCTCCTTCACCCAGCCTCTAAAGTTTGATTTCCTTGGAACTCAGTCAAGGATTCTCTCCCTTTCTCTTCGCTCTGTTTCAGACCTCTCATGGCTTTTAATGTCATCTCTATACTGACAATGCTCATGTATATCTGAAACCCAGACCTCCCCCCTAGGATGTATATTCCACTATCAGCTTGACTTCTCCACTTGGCTATATCAATGACATGTATTAATAAACTCTTGATCTTTCCCTGAAACCCTGTTCCTTTTTCTGTCTTCCTCATTTCAATAAATGACCTGGCCCCACATCACCAGAATTTGGGGAGGAATCCTTGATTCCTCCCTCTCTCTTCCACACCCAAGCCACCACACCAAACTCTTTCAATTCTAAATCTCTCTCAAATCTGTTTGCCTCTCTCCATCTCCACTGCCACCACCTTAGTCCACTCACCATCATCTCTGATTGCAGTAGGTTCCTAATCTTGTCCACCTCCAGTCCAATCCACAGCAAACAAAGTAATCTTTTTTAAACATTAACTATACCATATCAATCTCAAGCTTAAAACCTTTCAATGTAGTGTATTTCAGTATGTGAGGGATGTGCGTTATCTATAAAAGAGATACTATTTCATGATCCAGTTCATATGATACAAATTGAAACAAAAGTTCCATAAAACATGCCCTTCCTACTTGAGCTTATGATACATTCTGATATTTTCTATTCTTTTTTCAAGTTGATTTCAGTACCTTCTGCAGTTTGACCCTCTTTTAAAAGCACTGCTTCAATACTTTTCCATTGCTCGTAGAATAAGACCCATTCTCCGTACCATGGCCTATAAAAAAAACCCTACATAATCCGGCTCCTGCCTACCTCTTTGACCTCATATCCCACCCCTTTTGCCCTCAGTTCTCTTTGCTCCAGCGGCATTGACCTTCCTGCAGTTCCTAAGTATACCATTTCCTTTTCGCCCCAGGATTTTCCCATTTGCTGTGTCCTCTGCCTGGAACACTTTGCCTTCACTCAACATCTGCTAACTCCCACTCCTTCATGTCTCAGCTTAAATATCAGGCCTTTCCTGACCCCTCAAGCTAAGTTGCCCCCACCCATTATTGTCTTTCCTATCATCCAGTTCCGTCCCTTTGTAGCCTTATCATAATTTGTAATTATGCGTGTTTATGTATTGTAATTATGTGTGTTTACTTCATAGTCCTCTCCAGCACCAGACTGTAAACTCTAAGGGCTCAGTTTGTTCACCACAGTCTCATTCATGTCTGTATTGTTCAATACTGCGTAACTAGTGCTTTACATGGTTCCTGGCCCATAGTGTATGCTCAAAAGACATTTATCAAGTGAATGGAGATCTGAAGAACAAAGTGGAGTTGGGGAGATGTGGAGAGAGTTTCACACAGAAGCAACAGCATATACAAAAACTTGGAGGCTAGAGAGACTAACAAAAGGTCTAAGAGTTTCAGCTTTGACTTATGGAGTCTGGACAGGCTGGCAGGGGCCAGATCATGCAGGGCCTAACTTAACCTTCCCTCTTGAGGAAGGGAAGTTTTCTTTTGAGCCAATGGGGATTCATTGAAGGGTCCTAAACATGAGAGTGACATAATTTGATTTACCTTTTCAAAATCTCACACTGCCTACAGTATAGAAAATAGATTCCAGGGAACAAGACTGAAATAAGGCTGTGACAGCTCTGCAGGTTAGAAATGATGCTGGCCTAGATTAGGGCAGTGGCAGCAGAAATGAAGAGACTACATAAATTTGAGAGAGATTTCAGGAGGTAAAAATGACAGGACTAGGCGATTGCATGGGGGTGGAACAGACAGAAGAGTCGGGTATAGCTCAGGTTTCTGCTTTGACTAGGGTCAGTCACTAAGGTAAAGTACGAAGAAGGACAAACAAGTTAAGAGGAGGATGCCTTGAGTTGGGGGGAAGCTGAAGTTTGGGATGTCTCTGAGATATTCAGGTAGAGCTGTTTAGTAACCAATTGAATGCATAGGTCAGGAGAGATATCAGGGAGTCATCACCAAAGAGATGGAGACATGAGAGTGACTATTTTAAAGGAAAGAATGTGGAGAGGGCAGACAAGAGAGATCAAAGCCCTAAAGAGCATCAAGACTTAAGGGTTGGACAAAAAGAGCCTGGAAAGTAAAAAAATACCAAGAAAGTGGGAGAAAAATGAGAGTGTGGTGTCATGGAAGGGTCCTGAGGTGGAGGAGGAAGTGGTTGCCAGTGTCAAATGCTACCAAGAAGTCAAATAGGATTACTTCTGAAAAGATTCTGTTGGATGTAGTGACACAGGCCATGGCAGACCTTGATGAGATAGCACTATCAGGTAAATAGTGGAGGCAGACTGAAGTGGGTTGAAAGTTGGAAAATTAAGACGGTGAAGTGTAGGCAGCTCTTTAGAGAAGTTTATAGAAAGGAGAAGAGCGGGAAGTGGTTGGAGAAGGAGACTTTTTGGTAATTGTTAATTTGTTTTTAGATGGAAGAGACCAGAGTATGTTTAGATGCTGATGGGAAGGAGCAAGGGATGGACTCTGTAGGTTTGGTGGAAAGAAGTCAGACCTACTTTGGTGATTTCTGTTTCCTCTGTGAACTAGGAGATAGGGTCATCTGCTGAGGGTTAGGAGGCAGATGGAGAAGTTGAGCCTGTGCGGCGAGGGGAGGTTTGAAATGGCTGCTGTGGAACAGGGGAGAGAGAGAGAGACAGAGAGACAGAGAGACAGAGAGTGCGAGCTGCTTAGGGACACATAGTGTTGTCGGTCAGCACTGAGGGCCTGGTAGAAGCTGGGGACCATGAGTTTATAGTGGCACAAATCTGTGAGGTTGGGACAGTTTTCTCCAGCAATGTTTAGCTACCTGAGTGCGGGCATGGAAAAGGCAGACAGTTGGACTGATCCAAGGTTGAGATGTTGCCAGGCGTATGCGACAGTCCTGTGAACTGAGGCTGTTGTCAAGAGAGTGGTCAAGTAAAGGAACGAAAGATCTGGTCTGAGCAGAGTGAAGAGTATCAAAGACAAGCCCTAGGGAAACTCTGGATCATGTGGAAGGGCTTCTGGAAAAGAGATTGAAGGACAAGTGGAGGGGGGAAGACCTGAGATGGGACAGAAGGCAGATAGATATGAGGGGTTGAACCCGGAATCTCGCCTGTGCGGGACCAAGAAAGGATGGGGAAGGCAGGCTGAGGGAATTTTCAAGGGGAAGAAGGAGGGCTTTGAGGGCGGTCACAGCGAGAAGTGAGGCGGGACCGAATGAGGGGGCGTGGCCAAGCGCCAATCCCGGGCGAGGGGGCGGGGCCCGGATTACTGGGTCCCAGCGCCGCTGTGCCTGCGGCTACCTCAGCGACGGCTCCCGCCTCCCCAACCCCCTTCGCTGGGCTCCTTCCCGCCCGCCGTCGCGGAGACCCAGGCCGAGGCTCCGGAGGACGGCGGAGCTGGGCTCAGACCGCTCCCCTGACCTCGCGGCTGGAGCATCGTCTGGAGGGATTGGCCGGGGGGTGAGCCCCG